GGACCCAGGCAGTAGCCCTAAGCCAGCTATAAAGATTCTCTGTCTGAAGCCCCCTGAAGGAAACCACTATGTCACATTTAAAATCTTGGTTTACTCTTCTACCCTGAAGTAACAGCAAATCAAGGTCGTACTAACCATTATTTCTGATAAATAAGAGTGAGCTGTGGGAAATTAAGTTTCTGGAGAAAGGTCCAAGCTGAAGCTTAAGTAAATGCTTATAGTTTAATGATTTTAGGAACAGGCTCAAATACTGGAAACAGCAGCATACAGACCTACTACTACTAGCCTACTGCCTGCAGCAAGCCAAGTTGAGGGAATTCTCTTGGGGCTCCAGTTCCATGCTAAGCAGGGCATTCTGGGAGAAGCAGTTGTACATCCAGAGTTGCCTTTACACACGGATAAAAAGTAGTGGATCTTTTCAACCACAATGGTGTATATATAAGCAGTCCTATAATCTTTTAATTCATATGACATGGGAAAATAATATCTACATGGTTTTTCATTGTTTTCCCAATTGTCTCTTAACCTTGTCTGCATCTTCATTCAGGCAGATAGATTAACAAATTTCCATTTTGTCTGAATGAGTCAAAATGTATGTCAAGTGAATAGTAAAGAATAAAATATAACATAATTCTAGAAGGATAGAACGGCAGAGCTATAAAGTTCATCTACTCAAACCTTCTCATCTTACAGATAGGTAAATTGAAGTACAGAGAGGTAAAGTACCTGCTCAAAGCCACAGAGCAAGTCAGGGGCACAAGTTGTCTAACTCTTAGTCACTGTCTAGCTGGTATTACTGAGATCACCAGCCCTTTAGTGTCCAGATTTATATTTAGAATGAGCATTTGAGGCCACTGGACAGTGAGCCAGGGATCCAGCCTCAACCAGCTACTCCAGCTAAAACAAGCATCCCCCTGGTTGTCTTCCAAATATCCCAACCTCTTCTCCTCATCCCTTCCAGTATGAGTCAAGGTCCTAGGTTTGGACCCAGTTTATTGGAAAGAAGACAGAAGAGTCACTTGAAGGATGCCTGGCCAATGACCCTGTGGCCCAAAGCTCCTTTGCAGGCTCTAAGCCAACCTGGTCAAGATTATCTTGACAGTAGGCAAAACCTTCAGCCAAAGACAAGATCCTAGCAGACTTGCTCAAAAAATACCTACTTCCTAAATTAAGCAATTTACTGGTCAGCCCAATGAGACATTGAACGAAGCAATGAGAGAAAGATAGCTTAACTTACCTTTGACCCCACCCATCCTTGGGACTCTCTGCCCAAATGCATAGTGTACCCATTTTCCCCATGCCTAGAAAATTCTGTCTCCATTAGAGTGATCCATGAGTCTGAACAATCTTGAGCCCAGTAGTAAATTCTCCTGACCCTTGTCCCTTTCCATGGATGGTGAGAGCCCTAGCCCCAATCCTCCAACCTAGGAGCCTACAAGGGACATGCTTATGAACTGCCCAATAAAAGATACCTCCCATCATATTTTATGGCTCACTGGTAGACTGGCAGTAAAGGTGGAAAGTGCAGACTAATGGGTTTACTCTGAAACACATTTAAAAAGACCTAAGCTTTGAGCCACTGTTAACAACTCTGGCTTGGTCTACCTTGTCCCCTGGATCCCCAATCCTAAGCCTGCCTCAGCTCTAACCCACTTGGGGTTCCAATAATGACTTGGGGCTTGTAACCAATGTTATCTTGTTCCTCTTTACCCTCTTCCCTCCAAAAGTCTCTCCTCTAAACCCAGGAAGCCATGCTATACTTTCCACCAAATTGCCTGGCTTCCCTGTCTTGTCTGCTGCTTGGTCTGGGCAGGAGGACTCCCAAATTTCCCACCAGCTCTGCAAAAAGTATAGACTCATTTCTCTCCTGATCTTTTCCTTTTCCCCTAAATCAGACCTTGGTCACTTGCCTCCATCACAGGAACCTATTGCCTGCCATTCTTCCCAGGCATAAGACCCAAGGTAAGTTGGTTTCCCTTTAAAAACAGGTGAAGGCATAAGATAAACTGCTAGTGTCACCACAGAACTGTACACATCACAGAGTCCACAAAAAGTGTACATTGCATGCTCTAGAATGGCCTGAATTCCACTTTCCTTCTACTCTCCATGGTTTTTTTTCCCATGCCGAAACCTCTCTGATGTGTGGTTAGCTCCCACAGATCAAAACTACCTTCCTCTGGGGCTCCCTCATAACAGTCACAATTATCTGCAGAACCTCAGACTCATAAAGCCAATCAGCAGATTTAGGACTGTGAAGATATTAGGCCTAGCCAAAGAGAATCTGGGCTGTGTGGTGCCTCCATAAATTCATAGATTTTTAGAGATGAAAGGCATGTCAGACATTAATGGAAATGGAGAGTGCACCAACCTCCTTGACTATAGGAGTATATGTTCCAAGTTCCCCAGAATGGCTATTAGGCAAATACTGGCTGGTAAACATTTTAGCAAGCTTCTACTGGCTTCTTCTATCCCTTGAGACACTAGTGCTGTGACATAGGTTGCTGGGAAATGTTGAGTAAACTGCAGAAAGCGTGTGGAGGCAGAGACACATTTGTAATCTCAGGATCTGAATGGTTGCTTGGGAAAGCTGAGGGGCCAAAGAAAGTTAGTGCTAAGGATGAGATTTTCTAGGAGCTCAAGAATGTGGTGGGGTGTTCTTGACCTCTTCAAAATAAAAACTGAGGTGTTCCCAAGAGTATTCAGTATCAAAAACAACTTTCATGAATTCAAGATGCACCACAGCAAAGACCTAAGCCAAAGTATTCTGAGACCCTGGGGACATACCAAATTCCTTTCTGTCCCTTCTTGACCTGTACTCACCATAATTTAAACCAGTAAACCTACCCCTTCAATGGACCTAGTCTGTGTCAGAGTACACACCAGCCACAGCTCTGCACAGCCCAGTGCACCCCCCCCTTCCCAGCTGCACTGTGAGGTCTTGACCGGAAAGTCCCAGCCAGCCCTCCCCCTGAGTCCCCTATGATCACCTACTTTGAAGTTTGTTCCCCAGCAGTAAACCTCTTCCTGGTAAAGTAGTGATTTTCCCAAGTTTTATTACACACTCCAAAGGGCCCAGCTCCAAGCCTGCTCACAGGACATGAATGCCAGGGTCTAGCTTCAGCCCATCCCCCACTACCTCCCATGAAGTTTCACCCAGACTTTGCCACTGACTCTGAAGGCCAAGAGCCTGCCTTTAACCACAGGGCAATGCTCAGCAGGTGCCCTCCTAGGTAACCTAGACAACAGCAAAAGGCCGTACCCTGGCTGCCTTCCCAGGAGCCCCTGAACTGAATCAAAGCAAGGAAAAGGTATTCCCAGGGGTAAATGTGGCAGTGACCTTCTTTCCAGTTGTTCCACACAGTCCAGGGACCCCCTACTTTCAGGCATCAATGTGGCCTGGTAGTCTCCACCCTGGACAGCCATTGATACACAGTCTAACTTTCAAGTGGGGCCCACACTGTGCGGTGCCAATAGGTCACAAGAAGTACCAATAGCTCCAAACCTCTTCTTCAAAGGCAGCCCAATGAAGCTGCAAACAAACAAACAAAACAAAACAATGACAAAACAAACAACAACAACAAAAAAAGATGGGTACTTGGTTCAGAGTGGTAGGAGAAGCTGTCCAAACGCCCAGGGAATCCACCAGTGAATGCCCTAGAATTCAAGGTTTCTATGTTCAATAAATAATCCCGAGGCCCCCCCAGAGGGCAGCAGAAGTACATGTTATGGTGGCGAGAAGCTCACCTGCCTGTGAGCAGGCACGGAGATATGGTGGGGAACCCTTCAGCCCCAGGGCAACACTATGAAAAACCACCTATTCTGAGTGGCAAACTTTGGGCAAGTCTAGTGGAGCTGTCCCTAGGAGACACAAGAAGGAGCGAGCCTTGAGGCAGAGGGCATCCCAAATCCTTCACTCCTTCCCTAGACTCCTCATCAGAACTGCTGAGAGGGCAACGTCGTTGGCTTTCTGAGAAAACAGGATGGCTCCTCTGACTTCACCAGCCCACAGGCAGATTCAATGCGAGGAGAATGCAAACTTGCAGTCATGCGGCCGCTGGGCCTAGAAAGCTAAGGCTATGCTCCCTGGCCCTGCTTGTGTTAGGGAAGAAGACCATGTCAGCCCCAAGCGAAAGCCAGAGAGGTGAAGGCCAGCATTTCCGCTAAGGCCGAAACAGGCATCCCGCGGAGAGTGGAGAGACTCAGAGTGCCAGGGAGAGCAAGGCTCAGGTTGGGGGAGGCGTGGAGTGAGTCTCAGGGCCCAGCCTGCCAGTCGCCTTACAATTCTCTGGCAGGAGACGTTGGAGACCGCCTCTCTGCTTGCTTTGGGGTTCAGCTCAGAGGGCACGGAGATATGCTGGATTCCTCAGAGTGACAGAGGATGGCCTGACCTGGCTGGGCCATAACCACCACTGGCAAAGAGACGTGGGCGCACACCCCACCCGCACTCCCCCCTTCCCTTTCTGTCTCCAGCAGACACACACGCCTGGTTGTGTTTGACTCCGCTCAGTCACCAGTATTCCTAAAGTGTTTTTGACAGAAAACACCTCGGCTCCCGGTACGGGAACAGGGGCTGCTGCGAAGATCTGCAGTACAGTATTTCTCTCAAAGCCCTCCCTGCCTCCCAACTCTCTCCTGTCTCCGTGACTTCCCCCTCCAAAAAAATCTGCAAATATTTTCTCTCACTACACATGGTCAGCATATTAAAAGAAAAAAAAAGTGCGTCTGGATTTGTCCCAGGGCAAAAAAGTTCATTCCTTGCATGTGATCGATGAATATCCCAGGTCCCACCCAAGGGACGTCTTGTGCCTAGTCTCCAACAGCTTAGGGTGCCCAGAGCCCCGCAACTTGCGCCTTAGCAGCGCCGTGGGCAAGGGACAAGGGGGAGGAGTAGAAGAGGAAAGCTGAAGGGGCGCCTACGACTGTGAGGTCAGGGGTCAGCAGCAGTGGGAGCAGAGGACACCCTTGTCCAAATGCCAGGAGGGGTGCGCGGGGCCACTCACCTGCTTGGAACTCTACTTGGCGATTTTTCTCTCTTTCCTCCTGCAGCAGCATGGAGTAGAGGATCCCAAAAGAGTTCTGGATGCCAAAGATGGATCCGTTGCACCAGGTGGCAGCGAAGACCACCATCCAGCCGAAGCCACCTTCGGGGGGCTGGAAGCCTCGAGCGGTGCCGCGGGTCTCCACGGCGGGCGTGGACTTGGGTTCATGCACTGGCTCGGGCTCAAATTCCAACTCGGGCAGGGGAGCAGGGTCCGGTAGGGGTTGTGGCTCCGGCTGTGGCTCCGGCTGTGGCTCCGGCTGTGGCTCCGGCTGCGGTTCTGGTGGGGGCACTGGCACCGGCTCAGGCTCTGGCTCTGGCTCGGCGCTTCCCACCCACTCCTGCTGTTTTTGGTCTGCCTCCCGCCAGGGCCCCTTGGCTTCCTTGCTCGCCAGGCTTTGCAGCGCCATCTCGGCAGGGGGACTGTGGCTGCTCAGGCGAGAGGAGCCGCTGTGTGGCTGGTACTTGTTTCTGCCGCCGCCGCTGCTGCTGCTGCTCCTCGGAGCACTGCTGCTGCCGCTGCCTCCTCCTCCCGGCTCCGCGCCCCAGCTGGCCAGCCTGTCCCGCGACAGACGGTCCCTCGAGTCCTCTCCTCCTCCTCCCACGTCCAACCCCCCTTCTGCTCTCCCCATGTCATCTCTCTCCTCCCCCTCCTCTTTCCCCCCCACCTCTTCCTCCCTCAACAGGCAGCCGCTAGAACCTTGCTCTTCTCCCTAGCCCTTCCTGCTCCCCATACTCGCCCGCGTACTTCAGCCCTGCTCCCTACCTCAACTTCCTTTCAAAACTACTGAATCCTGTCTTCTTTGTCCATATGCCCAATAGAGGGAGAGTTAAAATGGTTTTTCCACAAACTGTCCTGTTTCCCGTGCCTTCTCCACACAGGCTCCAAACAGACATTGATCAACCCAAAATTTCCAGGGAAGCCCCACTGTCTTTTGGTCTCACTCCCTTCTTCCTCACACGCATCCTGGAACTGGAGAGGTCCTGAGGACCCCAGGATGAGACCTGGACTTTGAGAGACTCCACCCTGTCCTCGGGAGTCCCTTTGTCCCCCACTTGAGCTTGAGAAAAACGACCTAGAGGGGGAAAGCCCAGGCTTCGGACAGATGGTGGGCACAATCTTCTAGAGCCCGGGGTCTCAGCCTCCCACGGTCCTGCACAACCCCTCCCACCCCACCAGTCTCTCCCTGTTCGCCCCCGCCCTTCCCGGCAAATCCCCGGCGGGACGCGAATGGGAGGAGACAGCCCGGCAGCGAAACCCGCCCCTCTGGGCAGTCAATCAGGGTTTTGTTTGCGCCAACCTGGAGCCCAGAGGAGCCATAGAGGGCCGGGTCTGGTTCGGGGGCTGGGCCAGGAAGGGAGGGAGGTGCAGTGGCACCGGAGGGGGCCGGGCCCGGGTAGGGCGGGAGCCTAAGCTCAGCTCAGGCTCCTCCTGGCTCTCCGTCCCTCAGTGGGGAACGAAGAGTCGGGGCCGGGTCAAGACGCCAGTTTGGACAAGCGCGGATCTTCCGGCCCTCAGGACCCTACGGAGCCACGGGCCAAGGGTGTCTTTCCAGCACCCACAGCCCCTGTCCGCCTACCTGAGGCTTAGAGACGTAGGAATCCCACTGAATGTCCCAGACTAAGGCCCCAGCCCTGCGAGGGTAAGGGGGATTTGGGTACCCAGAGAGCGCATGGATCCCAGGAGGCAAGGATGGGTGATTTGCCCTGTGGGCCGCCTGGCCCCCTGCCAAAGTGCGCTGCTGTGTCCAGCCTCAGTCCTGGGGACCCGTCCCGCGATCCAGGGAAGTTCTGCGTCACCTGAGGGCCCACGCGTCTTATGCACTGATCATCAGGTCGTAGTGTGGTTACTAAGCTACTCCGGTCTCCACTAGCAGGCCGGCGAGTGCCAAGCGGTTTCTACTCAGCATCTCATTAACCTTCTTGCTGGGTGAAAAGACTATATGCTGGGTGAAAATTCAGCTCATGGCTCTGGCAGATGCAGACGAACGTAGAGTTATTAAGCACGTAAAAGCAGACCGAACTGGGCGGAAGAATAGAGGGGTTTCAAGGAGCTTGCCTATCATGAAAGTAATCTGTCCAAATTCACAAATCGCGAGAGCCATACTGGTGAGCAGAGCAGGCATTGCTTGAGCGAATAGAACGCCTTCACTGCCACCTCTTTAGTCAAGAACAAAACCTGAGGCTCAAGGAGGTCAAGGCATTTTTTTTAGCCTAAGGTCATGAAATAAATCAAGTACAAGCTGGAATTCAAGGCAGGTCTCCATACATCAAAGCCTCACTTCCTAAGCTTCGCCACAGGAGTCTAGGGCTTGCCTTTTTGGGAGAGGGGCAGAGGCGGGAAGGCAGGATTTGACTGAGCAATCTCAGTAGGTTTCTGGAAGAGGTTGTGGCCTAGATGGACCTTGAATATTGAGAAGGATTTTAAGTCTGGGGCTAGGGGTCGGGTGTCCCTGCCTAAAAGAGAGAAAGCATAAAGGCATAGAAGGCTTCTACTCATAGAAAGAGGTAAGTGAAAGTTAATCAGGGTTAAAAAGTTAATATGTATGTTACCTTTTCCAGGAAACATTTGCATTTTAATAAAAATTCACAGTGCTTTAGCCATGAGTGACAAATCATGCACATAAGGGGCACTAGTGCTTAAGATATGGTTGTTTTGTTTTTTGGGTTTTTTTGGTTTTTTTTGTCAGGGGTCTCACCATAAACAAGACCAAGTATTGCCCGAAGGGGCACTAGCCTTGGTGTCCATTTCCAGGAACCTGAATAAAACCCTGAAAAAGGTTATTTTCAACCTCACATCTAGGAATAGATCTGGATTCTTGCAGCTCATCTCATACCCTACTGTCTAAATTCAATTTCTTCATTGCACAAATGGGTTTTTAGATCCCTGGAATGGGGGGTGAGGGTGGGTAATAACACTCATTGAGAATCTCCTGTGAACCTAGCACTATGCTAGACCTCTACATACACTGCCTCATATAATCCTAACAACCTTATAAGATTGGGATGGAGTCTCCTGTGTTATAACTGAGGACACAGAGGCTCTAAGAGGTTAAGTCAGTTGTTTAAGTCTACAAAGCCAGTAAGAGGTAGCACAGGGATCTTTGCTCATTTGTGTGAGCTCCAAGGTATGTGTCCCTCTTAGAAGACAGGATCATGTAACCATCATCCCATCCTTGTAACAACATATGTAATACCTACGATTTTCTCCCCTCTTTAGAAGGTATTTTATAATGGCTAGAGTACTGGCACAAAAAGACCTGGATTCCAATCTTGATTCTACCTTTGCATACCTGTGTGCTTCTCAGCAAGTTGTTTTCCCTTTTCTTTATTGCAGAATGGAGCTAATACCTACTTCACAGTTATTAAATGGCATGCTGAGAAGTGTAGACTATTTTGGATATACAAGGGAGCCACTGAAGATTTTTGAGCAGAAAACATCAAATCTACATCTTATTTTTTAAATGCTTATTATTTATTTTGAGAGAGAGAGAGAGAGGGAGAGAGAGAGAGCACACAAGTGGGGGAGGGGTGGAGAGAGAAATAAAGAGAATTTTAAGCAGGCTCCATGCCCAGCACAGAGCCAAACATGGGGCTCGATCCCATGACCCTGAGATGGTGACCTAAGCCAAAATCGAGAGTCAGATGCTTAACCAACTGAGCCACCCAGCCACCCCTCAAATCTACATTTTATAAAGAAAATTGTGGTAACTGTGTATAAAGATACTGTGGCTTGAAAAGATAAAAAGTAAGGAAACCAACAAAGTTAAAAAATTTTTGATGGTATGAAATAGGGCACTGACTGAGGATGAACACTAAGAGATGACACTATGAACCACTATTATAATAGAGTTGACAGATTTGGGTACTGAGGGGAAAGAAGAAGCAAAAATGATGCTGACATTTTTTGCTTGAGTGAAGGAAAGAGTGGTAACAGTGGCTTTTTTTAAACTATTATTTATTTTAAATCCAAGTTAGTTAATATATAGTGTAATAATTATTTCAGGAGTAGCATCTAGTGATTCATCACTTACATATAACACCCAGTGCTCATCCCAACAAGTGCCCTCCTTAGTATCCATCACCTCTTTAACCCACTCCCCCACCCACCCACACCTCCAGTAACCCTGAGTTTGTTCTATTTAAGAGTCTATTATGGTTTGCCTCCCTCTCTGTTTTTTATCATATTTTGCTTCCCTTCCACTATGTTAATTATGTGCATTTATTGTATTTCTTAAATTCCAGATATGAGTGAAATCATGATATTTGTCTTTCTCTGGCTAACTTATTTTGCTTGCATAATATACTCTGGTTCCATCCACATTGTTGCAAATGGCAAGATTTCACTCTTTTTGATTGCCGAGTAATATTCACATATATATATATATATATGCATATATATATACGCATACATATATGCGTGTATATATATATATATATATATATATGCCACATCTTCTTTATCCATTTATCAGTCAAAGGAAATTTGGGCTCTTTCCATACTTTGGCTATTGTTGATAGTGCTGCTATAAACATTGGGGTGCATGTGCCCCTTTGAGTCAGATTTTTGTATCCTTTGGATCAATACCTATTAGTGCAATTGCCAGGTCACAGGGTAGCTCTATTTTTAATTTTT